TGTTGTTGTTATTGTTGTTTTTTAATTGTTTTTTATAATTTGTACAATTAACCTCCTTGTGGTTCGACCCCGGTCTTGCCGGGTTATTTATTACTTCGACACTCCTGCACTTGGGAGAAGACATCAACCTTTTAGTCGTGTCACTCGACTTCAACAAAGTATGAAGTCAATAAGATGACCGAAGGATATTATCAAGTTGATTTGAAAAGTATATTGATTATTTATTCTTTTATCACTTTATTGCCAAGTTGATTATTAATGTCTTTCTTTATACAAGGCTAACAACTAAAGGATAGGGAGAAACTTTAGCGAGGTCTATAGAAGAAAGTTCGCTAAAAAAGTCTTCATCTCTTGTCGTGGTTGATGGTAGGGCTTAAAAAGTGATGAAAGATGACCCCATCATTGTTGATTAACTCTTTATTCTCGAAGAAACAATAATAAGAGTAAAACATCCCACAGAAAATGAAGTTAGAGGTAGTTGTACTCTCCTAACTGAGGGATAAATAGATTTGACTCCCCCTAGAATGATCATGAGTGTTGCCATCCATTTTAAAAGAAAAAGAGTCTTCACCCTTGTGGAGCTTGGTGTTTTAATCTTGATTATAGAGGCTCCTATAATAGCATTTTCTTTACTTTAACTTCTAGTCTTACAGGCAAAGACTGCAATAATTGGGCATTTTATGTAAGTTGTTCCTAATAAAGCTAAGTTTAAAGCTGCTTTTGCTAACCTTGCTCTTGATCAATCTCCTTTTAATTTCCCTACCTTGACTGATAAAAAGAAGCATTTTATGGAAGCTATTGTTAATGGAAGGTCAGACATTGAGATTTTAGCTTTGAGGTGATAAAACTATTGGAAAAGATTCTCATCATCCCATCTAATATTTTTATGATGTTTGATGAGAGTTATAACCATTATTTAGCTCTAGCTAGTCAAATGACGTTTAATGTACGGAACCTTCTTATTCACCTTTTGTTTAGTTTTGTCACTATTATTCCTAACACTTTTTTTTCTTTCAGAAAACCTTCATGATGTGAACACATTTGAAAAGGCATTGGGTGGTCGAGAGGAATCATGTAAGAGAGGCTTGACACGACTAAAAGATTGATGTCTTCTCTCAAGTGCAGGAGTGTCGAAGTAATAAATAACCCGGCAAGACCGGGGTCGAACCACAGGGAGGTTATTTGTACAAATTATAAATAACAATAATACAATAACAATAACAATAACAATAACAATAACAATTAACCTCCCTGTGGTTCGACCCCGGTCTTGCCGGGTTATTTATTACTTCGACACTCCTGCACTTGGGAGAAGACATCAACCTTTTAGTCGTGTCACTCGACTTCAACAAAGTATGAAGTCAATAAGATGACCGAAGGACATTATCAAGTTGATTTGAAAAGTATATTGATTATTTATTCTTTTATCACTTTATTGCCAAGTTGATTATTAATGTCTTTCTTTATACAAGGCTAACAACTAAAGGATAGGGAGAAACTTTAGCGAGGTCTATAGAAGAAAGTTCGCTAAAAAAGTCTTCATCTCTTGTCGTGGTTGATGGTAGGGCTTAAAAAGTGATGAAAGATGACCCCATCATTGTTGATTAACTCTTTATTCTCGAAGAAACAACAATAAGAGTAAAAAGTCCCACAGAAAATGAAGTTAGAGGTAGTTGTACTCTCCTAACTGAGGGATAAATAGATTTGACTCCCCCTAGAATGATCATGAGTGTTGCCATCCATTTTAAAAGAAAAAGAGTCTTCACCCTTATGGAGCTTGGTGTTTTAATCTTGATTGTAGAGGCTCCTATAATAGCATTTTTTTTTACTTTAACTTCTAGCCTTATAGGCAAAGACTACAATAATTGGGCATTTTATGTAAGTTGTTCCTAATAAAGCTAAGTTTAAAGCTGCTTTTGCTAACCTTGCTCTTGATCAATCTCCTTTTAATTTCCCTACCTTGACTGATAAAAAGAAGCATTTTATGGAAGCTATTGTTAATGGAAGGTCAGACATTGAGATTTTAGCTTTGAGGTGATAAAACTATTGGAAAAGATTCTCATCATCCCATCTAATATTTTTATGATGTTTGATGAGAGTTATAACCATTATTTAGCTCTAGCTAGTCAAATGACGTTTAATGTACGGAACCTTCTTATTCACCTTTTGTTTAGTTTTGTCACTATTATTCCTAACACTTTTTTTTCTTTCAGAAAACCTTCATGATGTGAACACATTTGAAAAGGCATTGGGTGGTCGAGAGGAATCATGTAAGGGAGGCTAAACTAGGCAAACCAAGCTGCCTTTGAGCTATTAAACTACTATAGAGGCCAAACTGAAGAGTTTAAGGTTGTTTATTCAATGCTAAAAAAACAAATATAAGACATTATTCTTTAGTTAGATTCTAATGACAAACTACTTCAGGGCACCTATAATTAAATGAATGCCCTAAAGTGAGAGATTCTTGAGTCAAAGACCATATAATACGATCTTAGGGTTGAGCTTTTTTCTATCATGAAAGAACCCCGAAGTTCTCGGGCTTAGCTTGAGGTTTTGAGAAACTCTTTTAAGGATTTTCAGGAATTTTTTTTCGGGGGTCTGTAGCTTTAATTGAGGCATTCAGAGATAATACATTCCTTACAATGTCTAATTTGTATTTCTTCAATCAATCAAGAAGAATACAAGTGGATTTTAGTATCGCCTTTGATCTAGTCTTGATGCCTAACTTTGTGGATGTGTTCTCGGTTAGGGTTGTTGTTGCACAATGTGGGGAATATCTAGTTGAGGAGTCCAAACTAGATATTTACATCTTCTTTCCCCCTTTCCCATTTTTAATGTACACACCCCTAGTTTTAAGGGGTTTATTTACATGGTATTTTTATTTTATAACATTTTGATTCATATTTATTGCTTTGTTTGCTCTTGAGTATGGATCTCATGTTTATAGTAAATATTTCATGCGCGATTAAAGTCCTTTAGAATTGATTTGAAATTTTATATGGATCTAACACTTGCATATAGAAAATAATTTATCAAGTTTGAACTTGTATTGGTCCAATGTACACATTAAAAATCTCATACATGGTCCATAAACCCTTAAGAAATTGTTAAAAAATTGTATGGGTCCATTACCTGAACATAGAAAAACACTTATCAAACTTGAACTTGTATGGGACCAATACTATATTAAAAATTGCATAAAAGGTCTATAAACCTTAAGAAATTGTTAAAATTTTATATAAATCCAATAGCTGCACATAAAAAAATATTTATTAAATTTAAACTTTGAACTGTCTAACTTTAATCAAGATTTAGAAAGGATTTTCCTCCTAGCTGAAATCAAGAGGAAATCATGGTTTCAGATATTTTCTTAAAAATCCAAATGAATCTATAATGGATTGTTGAAAAACCGCTAGGTAGGAGGTGGGGATTAATGTTATTGTCGCTAAGAAAAACATCATTGTAGAGATAGTTTATCCTATCCTTGAAAGGTTGTAAAGCCTCATTACCTAAAAAAAATATCATGTCAATCTCATTATCGAAGAATAGTGCAATCATATTAAGGATACTTCAGATCCATCACTTTCAAGGTAATTTATGTAGTCGCATTAGAGAGACTGAAACCATCTCAATCTTGAAAGGTTGTGAGACCATTGTCCTAGATATCACTTAAAAAAAAGACATCATTAATATACATAATTTAATTTATATATAAGAAAGTTACATTTCTAGTTATTGACCATGATACATTTTTGTTTCCCTTTACGACATTTTTGTCTTGGTGATATTTTTGTTGAGATCATAGTCTTAGCTCCAAGCAAGGTGAGAATAAAGTTTTTTCAGTAGATGTTTTCTAGATGATTGATAAGGTATAATTGTCTTGGTGATATTTTTATTGAGATCATAGTCTTAGCTCCAAAAAAAGTAAGAATAGAGTTTTTCTAGTAGAGGTTTTCTGGATGATTGATAAACAAACTTTATATGTTTTATGGTTTGAAATAATATTTTACTTACACTTGTTGAAATTTTTTTAAAAATCTTGAGACTCCAACTACACTCATGAAGTTGGAAAACACCTAACCTAAATTTGGTCGTCTCGCTGAGCCCATAGGTAATTAGAAAAATCATACTTAAGACAATCAAATTACTACACAACTTTTTGTTCTTATTGAAGAGTTATTGAAGCTCTAATGAAAAAAATGTGCAAACAACTATAGAAAAGCCCATAACACATCCCATTTCAAGAATATTTTGATTATCCTTTATTGATGGTGATTGGGGATGGTGATAGACAAGTTCTCGAAAACTATCGATGCCTTTTTCTATCAGATTTCCACAAACAAAGCCATTGATATTGTCCTAAAAAATCCAAGTAGTTTAAGGACAAGGTTTACGTCTTGAATAATTAGTTAATTTTTTTATTATGACAATCTGATACATTCTTCCTATCCAAGGCGGTTAGTGTCTATACCTATAAATTGTTTTCTTTATTAAATTTGAGGACTTTCCAATATTTAGTATTTATTTAAAAGAAAATATAATAATATTTTAGAGAGAAACTAAAAAAAATAAATATTTAGTATTTATTTAAAAGAAAATACAATAATATTTTAGAGAGAACCTAAAAAAAAAATGTAATAGAGAATAAAAATTGAGAACCCTTTTTTTAAGGATAAAATCTTTATAGTCTATTATCTCTTTTTCTTTATTGCAGTCCCACTCCCCTTTGTCAAAGAGAAAACATATCTCTAACTTGATCAAAGGGAAAATATCTCTACATGATTGGGCTTAGTGCTTAGCTAAGCTTAGAAAAGCTAAGTATGGCAGATCGCCAGACCCATACATGATTAGACTTAGAGCTTGGCTAAACTTAGGAGATATTGGGTCTTTTGTCAGATCCATTTATGTCTAGGTTTGGCATTTAGCTAAACTCAAGAGAGTTAGGTCTGGCAGATCACCAAACTCATAAATGATTAAGTTCAATGCTTAGTGTAGGCAAAGAGATGTTGGTTTTGGTAAATTGCCAGACCTATTCATGCTTGGATTCAACGCTTGAGGCGGAGTCTAGAAAAGCTGGGTTTGACAGATTACCAAACTCATTTATGTTTAGACTTACGTGCTTGTTTGAGTCTAGAAAAGCTTGGTCTGGCAACCAAATCCATACATTATTAGACTTTGTATTTGGCCAAGACTAGGAGATATTGAGTTTAGTAATTTACAATAGTTGCTTAAGTCTGGGTTTGGTTGAGCTAATTTACAATAGTTGCTTAAGTCTGGGTTCAATGCCTGGTTGAGTTTAGAAAAGCTAGGTCTAGCAAATAACTAGACTTATACATAATTAAACTTAGCAAGTCATAAAATCCATTTATGTTAGGCTAGGAGATTAGCCGAGTCAGGGATAATTAGGTTTGACAATTCACAATCATCATGTATAATTGGACTCATGCTTGATTAAGTCCAAAATATTAAATTATAACTTGGTCCTAGTTACTCTAAATGGAACCCCAAAAAAAACAAAAAAACAAAATATGGTGATCCATGATCCTGACTGACAAGAAAAGGTTGTCTATGACTGTCTGACTATTAACAAAAAGGCTAGTAATTAAGCAACAGTTTATTATATTTTATTTTCAAGACAATCAATTTATTAAACCAAAAAAACAATGAATATAGTTAGAACATGTGTTTTTTTCCCCTCCCTTCCCCTGATTCACCAGATGAGAACCACAACTGAGAGCAAACTCCCATCAATGTCAAAGGAGATTAATTGTGGTTTATTCTTCATCTCCCTTTTGGACACCAAGGACTTTGACCGGGTAAATATATAGATTAAACTACTAATCCATTCTGGAAATCTGCCATCTCAATTTTCTGTGCAAAAAGGAAATGGCACCGATAAGAATAATGACCAACGTTGCTCAACTAAAAATCATGCATTGGCAAGGAAACGGGACTTCCAAATACCAGGATGTAAGACTTCCCTTTTGCCTATTGAGAATTGAGCAGGACACATAATCCTTGAGAACGTAAATGAATCAGGCAGCTGTAGATCACACTTGATAACATGAAGGGAGTTCCTTGGGTACTTTCTTGAACTTCTCAGGAGTAAACCCCAATTCTTGACTTCTAGGGGTATATGACTTCTCAAAAATCCATCAGTGTCTGTACCTCAATTCAAAGCTCCGACGTTGTAATAGTAAAATCAATTTCATGATTGAGAATGTAAATTAGTCCAGTGTATCTTGCAAGCTTCAATGGCAGCATTACGAGCAAAGTGCAACAAAATTGGATATATTTTTCAAAAATGCCCTTAGATAAATGACTCGTGACTCGTCTGAACAATGATGTAGACATAAATTCAAACAGATAGCCCTTCTCATTTAAAATGCTGGTTCACATCTTTTGCGCAACTCGAAACCTTATAAATCAACTTCAGTCCCAACCCAACTGCAAGCAGTATCTTTTGATATCCCTCTTAACTTCATCATCTCCCTAAGCTCACTCACACTATCCCATCTCTCAGCAGCGGCCAAGGTATTCGATAACGCAACATACGCACCAGGTCGACCTATAGCATTTATCTTAAAAAGTTTATTGGCAGCTACACGTGCCATTTCTACATTGCCATGCATATTACAAGAACTAAGCAGAGCTGCCCAAACATCAGAATTTGGCTTCTCAGGCATTCCTTTAACAAGCTCCCATGCCTGCTGTAAATTTCCAGCACGGCCTAACAAATCAACCATGCAAGCATAATGCTCCATCCTTGGTTTCGTGGAATAATCTCTCTGCATACTATCAAAGATCTCACGGCCTTTAGTGACCAAGCCAGCGTGTCCACAGGCTGACAGAGCACCAAGGAAAGTAACGTAATTGGGCTCAATATTACACTGTTGCATCCTATGAAATAGCTCAAGCGCTTCCAAGGGTTCTCCATTCTTCCCATATCCATCAATCATTGAAGTCCAGGAAAACACATTTCTCACTGGCATGTAGTTGAAAACTCTTCTGGCATCCTCAATTCTACCACATTTTGAATACATGTCTATAAGAGCACTTCCCATTTTTACACCGTTGGAAAACCCACTCTTTATAAGCTGGCACTGAACTTGCTGACCAATCTCAAACCCTGCCAACACAGAGCAAGCCCCAGTGACACTTGCAAAAGTGGACCCATTAGGCCTAAAGCCAAACCGTTGCATATCAACATAAACCTCAAGAGCTTTCATAGCTGTTTCAACAGACTTGCTATAACCTTCAATCATTGCATTACAAACCACGATGTCTTTTTCAACTGTCTTCCCAAAAATCTCTTCAGCATCTTCTACAAAACCTTGATTCATGTACCCAGAAATCATCGATGTCGAACAAATCACATTCTTTTCCAACATCAGATCAAAAACTTTCCTTGCATAGCCAACCTTCCCACTCTTCACATACGAATCAACAAGCGCTGTATAAAGAACATCATCGGCCTTAACATCTAGTTTCAATATCTGGGCATGCACTAAACCCCCTGTATTACGGGGCAACATAACATTAGCACCACTAGTAGAAGCCTTTAAAATCATCGAAAAGGTAAACCCATCAGGCCTTTCACCATCAAGATCCAACATACGAACCATACTAATCGACTCTTCAAACAACCCCTGTCTCAAGTACCCACCAATCATATAATTATATGCTGAAAGAGTTCGTTGAGGCAATTCATCAAGCAGCTGGTGTGCATACTTCAGACACCCACATTTTAAATGGAGGATCAGAAGTTTGATAGAGATATTAATATTGGGTCGAAAACCAGTTTTTAAAATATGGGTATGGATCTTTTGGCCATGAAAAGGAGTATCTGAGTTGATGTAGTGTTGAAGAGCTGAGGACAGAGTGGTGGGAGTTCGGTGGGTAATGTAGTCTTCTTGATTTGGCGGGAATACATTTGATGGGCGAAGAGGTGTGTAGTTACGGGTTGATGAGAAAATGTACGGTCTGATTGTGGCTGGTTTGACCTTTTTCATGTTGCCATTGGATTTGTTCAGTTGTCTGTGATGAAGAATCGTTTTATTTGATAGAGCTGATAGAAGCTTGAGAGAAATGTGGTCGTTTTGAGATAAAATGCAATGGCATAGGCATTGGTTAGGGCTTGGGGAAAGGACAAGAACTTCTTCAATCATATCATTATTTAAAAAAAAAAAAACTCATGTGGCAAGTATTGAATTTATTATTTTTGCTATCAAGATTCTTACGTATAACTCTTCTCTTACTCCTCGACAAAAAAAAAAGAAAAAAAAAAGAAGATAAATCGTCACATATTCCAAATAGATGGGAAAACATTTCCGAGGACATACAATGAAAAACTGCCCTTGGTTTTGTAATTTTTGCAAAACATGCATCTGAGACTGTTTGGCATCATAATCAGTTTTTCTCTATAATTTTTTTTTTTTTTATAAATACATAATAATACACAAACATACCACAAACCTAGAACATACATTACATGGGCATGACATGTACTATATATTATAGGTAGTATAAGCAACACTTGGGCTCACCCACCATAGCAAGTTTTAGCATCATCTTTTTTAAGAGATATTATTTTAATATAATTTTTAATAAAAAAAATCATTTTTATTACACTTTCAAATAGCTAAATAACATTTAATAAATACTCTATTGCCCAACTTCAACCATATGCCTAATAAAACTCTCGATTAGAAGTAAAATGCAACCATTTGCTTACTAGGCCAAACCAAATTTGAAGTTCAGAAACCAGCCTTTTGATCCTATAATAGGTGGGAGACCCAAAAGTAAGAAAACAAGTTAAAGGAAGTAATGGAAGAGTAGGCAAAACTTATATTGGGTGGTTGAGTTAGTAAATAAAGTTATTTTAGAATTTTTTTGAACAAAATTAAATTTTATTTTATTTTTTTGTTTTAAATTAATATCTTTTTAGTATTTTTAGACATTTTGATGTGTTGATATCAAAAATAATTTTTTAAAAATAGAAAAAATATTAGTTTAATATATTTTGTAATAAAAAATATTTTAAAAAATAGTTTCAAGAGGTATAATTTTTTATATAATATCCAGATGGATTCCTTTTATTTTTTTTTATTTTTTTTAGATTAACGTGGGTGTCCGGGCCAGCTTGCGCGCACCACGACTAATCCCACGGGCCCTGAAATTAACGACCATGTAAGCCTCTAGTGGTCATTATATGAGCAACCAATGACTTGAATCTGAGACCACAGAGGGAGCAAACCCCTTGATCCCAAGTTCTTATCACTTGGCCACCACCTAGATAGTTAATTTCTTTTATTTATTAATATTAATGATCATGGTTCACGAGATATAAATTTTGTTTTATCAGTCTTATTTGGAGTTTAAAAACCTAGTTAGGGTGCCCATAAGCTATTCAAGATACCATCTATATAATAAAAGAAGGCAAAACGAAAGTTCAGAATTTTGTTTCTTGATTGCTTGTTGAAGTAGTGTCTTTGAGGCATAACCAAACATCACTTTGAAGAAATAGTGTATCCTGCATCTAAGATTTGTTAAAGATGAGACCAAAGATTTATCTTTTTGGCGACTCCATCACTGAAGTTTCCTTTGGTGATGGTGTTTGGGCTGCCTCTCTCAGCAACCATTTCTCTCGCACGGTAGCAACTCCCTTCTTTCTTTCATACCTTGCTAAATTTTCTTATTACAAGCTGCTAATTATGGAGTTCTGAATATATTTATTGTCTTTATGTTTCTTAGTTATGTATTTGGTTCTTGAGTTTTTCAGGTTGATGTGGTGCTGAAAGGGCATAGCGGGTACAATACCTGGTGGGCTCTTAAGGTGGCAGAGAGGATATTTCCGCCGGCGGGAAGTGGTGGTGCGCCGACTTTGGCTGTTACTGTGTTTTTTGGTGCTAACGATGCTTGCCTTTCCGATAGATACGCTGCCTTTCTACACGTGCCTCTCCATGAATACAAGCAGAACCTTCACTCTCTCATCTCATTTTTCAAGGTATATCATTATTCTCAATTTTTATTTTATGTTAGCTATATGTAAATTATTATAGTAATTCATCATTTTTATTTGGTCATGGTCTAGATACTACTAGTTGAAAGGTTAATTTAATAAAATTAAAAAATTATATATGTTTTCTAGATTAGTTTTAAAAACTCAATGCTCATCCTATCATTTTTTTCATGTGGACATGTGGAGTCCAGTCATGCCCTTGTAATGCAGAAATTAAATTAATGTATAACGCTTTGACATTGTAATATTGTATGATATTTTAATATTATAATAATACTTTGCTTAGTAAAGTATTATTTATTTAAAAATTATTAAAATAATATTTTTTATTTTTTAAAAATTTATTTTTTAAATGAATACATCAAAACGATTTAAAAATTCTAAAAATATTTATTTTTTTAATTTTTAAAAATATATTATTATAGTAGAAAAACAAATAGTAATGTGTGGCCAAGGAATCTTTTATTGAGGGTATTTGATAACGTGATAGTTGTTGTTTTTTAAAATATTTTTTATTTTAAAATATATTAAATAATATATTTTATTTTTAAAAATTATTTTTGATAGTAATATATCAAATATCAAAATATCAAAAATATATTAATTTAAAATAAAAAATAAAAAAAATTAATTTTTTTTTTAAAGTTTTCCTACCGCTAATCTTTTTTAAATTTAAATATTAAAGATTTATTTTCGGGCCTCCAACCAGGATACATTTTTACTATCTTTTATATAAGAGATTTAGTGTTGGTTTCCTCAAAAAGTGATTGAAAAAAAATACACTTTATCTCATACACACACAAAACAATGACTTTCTCCGTTTTTTCTAGATTAAGAATCTGTACGTCGCCATTTATCAGCCATGAAAAGTACTTGGTGTTCGGTAGGTTTTGCATATAATTCTCTTACATCTTAATTAGGAAATATTGGACCCATCTTAAGGTCGGTTGATAGGTTGATCCACACAAAAAAAATAATGACTTTCCCTGTTAGCTAGCTTGATGTCATATCAAGGACCGTACATGAAGTTGATGAAACTTATTAATTCAACCATGAAATATTAGGGTTGAAGTTGGGCAATAGAGTATTTATTAAATGTTATTTAGTTATTTGGAAGTGTAATAAAAATGATTTTTTATTAAAAACAATATTTCTCTTAAAAAAAATTAATAGAAAGATGATGTTAAAACTTGCTGTGGTGGATGAGCCCAGGTGTCTTGTGCTTTTATACTACCTATAACGTGGGGTAGATCGCATGTACGCGTGATGATGTAGATTTGTGATATATTTATGTGTTGTCATATATTTATAAAAAAATAAAAAATAAATAAAAAAACTGTTATAATTTATAATATTTTTAAAAAAATTTAAAAACTAAATTCTTAACTAGATTAATATTTAAAAAATAAAATAAATAAAGAAAATTTTGTAAAAAATCATAAAAATAATGAAAAAAACTATGGAGGAAAATACTATAGTAATTTATAGTGTTTCATAAGAAAATCAACAGTTATAAGTTTAATATTAAAAATAATAAAATTAATAAAGATAATTTAAAAAAATTATAAAAAAATTATGTGGACAAAAAAAAAGGCTAAAATTATAAAAAAATTATGTGGACAAAAGAAAAAGCTAAATTTTTAACTTACTCAATATAAAAAAACTAAAATCGACAAAGATAATTTTAGAAAAAAAATCATAAAAAATAAACAAATAATGCGAGAAAACACTTTAGCAATTCATAGTATTTTAAAGAAAAAAACTACAAGGCTAAATTTTTGTCCAGCTTCATATTAAAAAAATAAAATAAAAAATAATTCTAAAAAAAAAAAATTTAAAATAAAATAAAAAATAATTCTAAAAAAACAAAAAAATTGAAAAAAAATAGAAGGAGAAAATTTTGGAAAAAAATGAAAAAACAACTTATGGGGAAAGTTAAAGTTGAATTATCAACCAGTTCAATATTTAAAAGAAAAATCAACAAAGATAATTTTAGAAAAAAACATGTTGGGAAATATTGTAGCAAAACAAAAATCATGTGGAGAACTATTATAACAATTTACAGTATTTTAAAGAACAAAACTAGAAAACAAAATTGACAAAGATTATTTTGGTTAAAAAACTCATAAAAAAAACTGTGTAGAGAAACATTATAATAATCTATAATATTTTAAATAAAAAACTACAGAACAAAATATTCAACTAGTTCAATATTAAAAAAATAGAAAAAAAATAATTTTGAAAAAAAAATAATAAAAAACAAAAAAAAGTCAATCTTGGGAAAAAAATAAAAAAACATGTAAAGCTTAAAAAAGTTAATTATTAATATATTAAAATTATAAAAATATTAATATAATATTTTTTTAAATAAATAATATTTTTTTGAAATAAATATAATTTTGTTAATCTTGGAACTTTTAGCTTGGTTTCATTTGAGGTTTTGAAAGGCGAAATAAATCTTGCATATTATCATTTTCATAAACTTGTTGAATTAATATTATGTTTTTGTGTGTTTTTATGGCAATTTGGTTTTTAAAATCCATGCTATGAGAAGAAATCATATTTTTGAACAAGTATTTTCTACTCTTTCATTTGGCACATTGTTTTAAGCTAAAAAACTTTTTGGGCCGTAGAATATGTGGTTTTTATTTTGGTATAGCCATTTTATAAAAATATCTTAAATTATTTAAGATTATGATAAAAATAATTTTTCAAAGTGGTTTTATATTTGGAAATATATTAAAATAATAATTTATTTATTATTTTTAAAAAATTATTTTTGATATTAACACATCAAAATAATTAAGATTATAAAGAAATTTAACTCAAAGCAAAAAGAATTTAAAATTTTTTTAAAACATTTTTTAAATGCATAAGGAATCACATAAAGAAGTTTTCCACCAAATAGCAAATAACATGTATTTTAGGCTTCTAATCTTGGAAGATTGCTTTTTACCCTATCTAGACCACTTGTATATATGGAGACTGGTGAAGGCATTTAGGTTAAAATGATTAAGATGCTCCATTTTAATAGAGATGATCCTCTCGAATTAGAGGTTAATGGACACAAAAATCACTTGTGATTTGGACCACCCCAGCCCTTTTTCTTCGTTCGGAATTGTTGTTAGATCCCAATTTGCATATAGATTATAAACAAAAGATCATGCTAATGATATATACTTAAACTTTTTTACTAATATTCTTTACTAAGTAACATGATATCATGCAATTGGTGTAAGAATCAAGGTGTAACGAGGATAGTTTAAACTAAAAGGTTATAAAACCTTTAAGTTTTGATATTAATTATCAATGGATTCTTTTATCAATATATATGTCGCTTGCTATTTATTCATTCAACTATACAAAGAAACTTAATCTCGCGTGTAGATGTAGATAACCATCTTGCAAATCAAACGAATGTGAAATTCTTAATTTTGTTTTGCAGGTTATTAAAGAAAGTAAAGAAAGAAAGATAAAAAAAGAAGTTAATTACAATAAGTAAAATAAAGCAATAATTTCTCTTAATCAAATGCACATGTTTTATATATATATATAGATACACCTGTAAAATTTCAACAAAACTTCTCAGCTCATGTTCACAGATTCTTATACTAGAGAAAGATGTCACTAAGGCAACTCACGTATTAAGTAAAAGTGACTATTTAGTCATCAAGTAAAAATACATATAATCTAAGTTGCTGCATCATCTCCTTATTCGCCAATCAAAACATATATAGATATATATTAGTAAGCTACTGCTTCACACTCGGTAGTCGGTAAGCAAAATTTAGCAAAAAGATTGAGGACCCCTATAGCGTTGTCCACTGTCAGCCTTAAGTTTTTTGAAGGAACCTGCTATATGATCGGCGAATGCTTAATTTGTTATAGAATAGATGTTTTTATGTCAAGTAGTTTGGATTCGTACCCATCAAAAACCTACCAGTACATTTTAAATGATTTGAAGTTAAAGCTAACATCTTTATGTTTATGTTTAATATCAGAAGCGTTGGGCAGAGACTGTCATTCTCCTCGTCACTCCTCCTCCAATTGACGAAGATGCACGCCTCCGGTAGGAATACGGATGCCCTTAACAGCTTTATGCATGTCTTATGTATAATTATTATGCTTATTGCATTGCTATTAGCTAGAATAGATGTCAAAGCATATTCTTACAGCCTTACAGGGTTTATGCTCAGACATGCATTAAAATTTTGTAGGCATCCATACATGGAGAACCCATCAGGTCTACCTGAGAGGACAAATGAAGCTGCTGGTGCTTATGCTCAGGCATGCATTTCCGTTGCCAAAGAATGTGGATGCCCAGTGGTGGATCTCTGGACCAAAATACAAGAGTTTCCTGACTGGAAGGAAGCTTGTCTATGGTATTTTAGATTTTATCTTGCTTGTTTATATACAATACATAGTTTGCTGCAAGGGTAAACATGATGGATGTCTCAATATCATGTATTTTCTAAATAACTGATAACTGATCCTCTATTGCTAATAAATTCATTTAATGAATTCTTTGAATATCTTCCAAAATAACACAGTACAAAAAGTAGCACAGTTTAGAGAATTTACAACTATTTTAAATTCTAAAAGTGGCTGACATCTTTTACCGTAAAAAAACGGAGAAGAGGATACAGATAAAAAAACAAGGAAGGAATGAAAGGAAAAAAAAATCCCAATAGATATTAAAACTTCAATGATAGTATTATTATTATTGTTCAAAAGATATTAATAGTATTATAACCAGAGTAAATCACATAAATCGTGTAAATATGTTGGATTTATTTGCTTTTAGACGGTTCTTGTGGCGTACTTTATTTATTATTGATGTTTTTTTTTTGTTTTTTTTAATATTATTAAATTTATTGTGATAAGATTTTTTTAATAATACGAAGTAATATCATCACCATAGTTTTTATGTGCTTTCTAGATTTTATAATTTTTTTTTCTCCTCTCTCTTCACAAGCTACAAGGATAAAAGAGTAAAGAGAAAAAATAAAAACCTGGAGGCTTTCAATGAAGAATACTCTGTACGTCTTGAAACACTGAAACATGCGCTTGGTCATGTTTTTTTCTATATAAATGTTACCCTAAAGTGTTAAGAGACATGTATAATTATTTGTAAATCCTATCATCTATTATTGCAAAGATTTTAATGAACTATTTGGGAATCTGGGTAATCGCTTTCTTGGTTCAAATATGTAAAATATCTGGTTCGTGTATGAGGTTTTTTCTGGTATTTAAGATTGGCATCCATTTCTGCGATTTTCCACTACCGAAGATTGAATAAATTAAACTAAAATGCATGTTAGGTAACTCTGATCAATACTTGTTTTGAATTGCAGCGATAGCTTGCATCTTACTCAGACTGGCAACAGGATTGTGTTCGAGGAAGTGGTCAAGATACTGGAGGAGCAGGGCTTAAGTCCAGAGAATTTGCCAGTTGAGGCCCCACTTTTCGCCGACATTGACCCTAAGGATCCACTCAAGGCATTTGAGGGTTATTAATGTATTGTTTGTAAGTTGCTCTATTCAAAGGTTGACATCATTTTGAGAAAAGCACAATTTCAAACATTCAGAATGGTGACTCACTCTCTGAATTCCTGTGAATGTAGCTCGTTATGTCATAATAATCACGTTTGTTGTTATGTTCTTCTAGATCATGAAAGCCAAGGATCATATCGCATCTCTATCTCACTCTATTATTGAATAATTTATATTGCTCCTTATTTTGTTAAACTTTGAAATATCTTTGGAAAATCCTCTTTGATATAGAGAATGATTCTTGAGATCGATTGTAGCCATTACATCCAAAATATTTTTCTTTCTTTCTGAGTAACACTCCTATGATTATAGGTTGAATAATACCAAGAGTCAGTTACAGTTGAGGGAGTAAAGTGAGGTTATCTTCAGTCTTTTTGAATTTCTTTCTACTAACATGGCTCCCTTTTGCATTTGTTTTAGGTCATTTGGCCGAATGTCTACAATTTGAGCTTCTGTAGACGGCATTGATTTAGAACATCAGTTGAACTACATTCATGCAAAAAAGATAAAAATAAAAAAAATAGCCAATCACTCAAACTTAGGCTTCAAAGCCAGGGCTCATGGAGACTCTTTGATTGTTGGCTATACCAACAACGTATAATCTTTTCTTTTCTTTTTCTCCAGCGCTTCTTTCATTTTAAATATTGCTTAATTTCCTATCTTTTATATATATAAAACTTTTCTTAAAATGATGGTTGATCTTTTGAAATATATATATATATTTTAATTTCATAATGTTTTGAAAAGATTACTATAATTTTTTTATAGTTTTTTTCTCTGATATTTTATTTAAATGAGTTATATTTTCATGAAGAACTTATATATATATATATAAATTATTATTAGCAAGAATTAACTTTTAACATAAAACAAATGAGAATGTTTAGAATAAAATGGATAGATTATGTGAAATATTTATATTCCCATCTATCTTTTATCTTTACTATGAAGATTAACTTTTTATTTTATTATTTAATTTGATTTAATAACTCTCTCTCTCTCTCTCTCTCGGTATTTATTTTTTAATCATTTGGCCACATGGCTACAATTTGAAATTGTAAGAAGCATGCAAATATTTAAGCAAAGAAAAGTAAACGTTAAGAGAGATGGTGGAAGCACAAATGTCTCATGCTAGACGTTCATCCTTGTTATGAGCATGGGTGAATTAAAGATTTATTGAATTTTGCAAACCTAAAAAAATATATCGTAATTATAATTATATAGACAGTATCAATTGCAAATAAGTTTTATATTAGTTTTATTCTAAAACTTCTTGGAATTTTTATTAGAAGATTTCATCCATTTTAAGGTTTTTCATTAATATTTTCAACTAATTGTATCATTGTTTTATATAAAAAACAACAGATACCTTAACATTTTTCATTAAGTAAGAAATAAAAATAATTTAAAGTTAAAATTAATGGGATAGATAGTGTGGATATAAAATTGATACCAATCATAATTGTTTTAATATTTTAAAGAGACGATTTTCAAAACAAATATTTCCCACACATTTTATTAGTTGCCTAGTAGTTTACATGCCTGTGCAACACCAAGCATTAAAAAGAATTTTGAATGTAAGAAAAGATATATATATATATATATATATATATATATAT